TTGATAAGGGGTGAGAGCCACATATATTTCCTGTACATTTTTTTTTAACCAGGAAGACTGCAGCAGCATCCTCTTCAGCTGGCATAAGTTTGAGTGGATTCCCTTCTTGGTTTGGAGGCTGGAACATTTCAGTCATTGAGGCCACTTCATCTCCTATTAGGTCATGCTATAGGTGGAGTTCCCAGTTCTCAATGTGATCCCATGACCCAAGGTCCCTCCACAATGAGATCTATGGTCTTCTTAGGGGTTGTGAAATGGAAGCATTAAAACACCGTGATATTTTTGTGGTAAGGGAAATAAAGAACTACTCCTCAACAATCATTTCTGTGTATCTTATTGAATGTATATAAAGGCAAAGAGAAGCTTTGATTCTTTTTATTAACCAGTTGCCAGAAGAATTATTAGTACTCAGATCTTTGCTTCTAGGTGATAGGGAATGTTCTTCTGTGTATATGTTTCTCTTCTTGGTTAATAAATAAAACACTGATTGGCTGATTGGCCAGAGAGGAAGAGACATAGCTAGGCAGAATCAGGATATAAGCAGGGACAAACAGAAAACTGCTCTCTTCTCTGCAGAGACACTGAGCAGTCATCAGGTGGCAGGCAAAGGAGTTGCAGGTCCAGCATTCCCCGGTAAGATAAGACCACGTGGACATACATAGATTAATAGAAATGGGTTAATAATTAAGACAGAGCTAGCCAATAAGAAACTCAAGCCAACAGCCAACAGCTGAGAAGGATAGCAGGATCTGCCAGGCCAGAAAGTTCATGTTACATCTAGGACTTTCTAGGGGTATAGTTAAGACCACTCAACTTTGACTTCTTGGTACTTGTGTTTATGACTCTTCCTTTATGCTAAAAGTCATGGTTCCTAATTGACATTTTTTGAGACAGGACCTCATGTTGCCTAGCTGATCTGTGACTCACTGTTGTCACTAGCTAAAGATAAGCCTGAACTTCTCATCTTCCTGCCTCCAACTTCCAAGTACTGGGATCACAGGCTTGAATCATCATGACAGTTTTATGCGTTCCTGGGAATTGAATCCCGGGCTTCTTGTATGCTAGGCAGTCATTCTACTACCAGTAAGCTATATTCTCAGGCCCCAATGACATTCATAGAATTATACCCACTGTGTGTGTGTGTGTGTGTGTGTGTGTATGCACACGCGCGTGTGAATGTGTTTGTGCCCTCACATGCATGTCTGTCTATATTTAGCTTTAGATAATAACTGATGGTGCTGGAGTGGCCTTGGATTTACTCACCAGCACCAATAATAAAATCCAACAGGATCCCAAATATAGACAAAGAACCACTGACAACTAATGACTTCTGAGAGAAAGTTAGTATTAACTTGAAGTCTCTCTGTGGTTATGCCAGCAACTTGATATATGAATATATTGGCTTGTTGCATTTTATTGGCATTTTACTTTATTGTGTGCTGTGGTTATGTAAAACCTTCATATAGTAGTTCTGGTATCATAAAGGCCTCTAGACATAATTCCTCTACCAGCATAGTGCCAGCACATTAAAGCCAGTTCCGAATGCTGACTTGTATAGTTTTGATTGTTCTGTTTTCTGGTGGGGGACAGGTGGCAGGGAGGAAACCAAAAGCACATTAAGGACAGTAGAGTGCAGAATAAGTGCTGAATGAATGTTGGTTGTTGACACGAATGCATCCATGTTCAGGATCCCATGTCATGGACACATGGGTGTGACAAAGCCATCCCCACATGAGGCTCAGAGGGACAGCAAAGCTTTGCTCTGATGGAAATGCAAATGTTGATAGTATGCCCAGAAACTGTCAACCATAACTTCCTCCTCCAGGATGACTGTAGGCTAAGGCTGCTCCTCCAAGAGACCTACTAAGGTTACTTAAATCTGTCTCCTTACTCATACCTATACCATAAACCCTATTCCTTATTCAGCTGTATAAAATATTCCCACTGCTTTGATTCAGATAGCAGTTGGAGACCACTCTCAGAATAGTACAACTTACCAGATCCCAACTTTTCTGAAAGCATCTGTCTTTCTTTCATTCTGTTTCACCTGGGTTAGGTCAATTCCAGAAGCTGTGCAGAGCATGGCTAAGGACTATGCTTTGCCTGAAATCCTGCTTGAGTGAGAACTTTAAGGAGATTTGGAAAGGAAAATCAAAAACAAAGACATACAGGATCTCTAAATGTCCAGAGAAACCCACCATAACCTGGAGGGTGCGGTGAGAGGGACTGGAAAACAAAGCCCTTTGTTTACAATTTCGTCCAAGATGAAGGAGCCCTCCTTTCTCAAGACATCTTTTCCTCAGGTCCCTGGCTTGGGAAATTCTTTCTGCATCTCCCTGACCTCCTTTCTATAGGCCAGGTCCCTAGCACATACAGTGTCACTGTAGCCCATATTAATCACTACAGTTAAAATCTGTCCCCGCTTGTTACAGTGTCACAGAGCATCTCTCACATTCAGTTTCTGCACTTGTATGCATGTGACTGTGTATGTGTATGTACATCAAAGAACCAATTACTGGAGTCAGGGCTCTCCTTCTCCGTGTACCTAGGGATTGAACTTATGTCCTCATACTTGGTGGCAAGTGTCTTTACCTGCTGAGACATCTTCATGGCCTTGGCTTGGGAATTTTTGCAAGGAAAAGAGTAACAAAATACTATGGTTATTAAAACACTAGTTTCCTTGTTTCTCCATGGTAGTTTCTCCAAGGCATTGACCTTGGTAATGATAAATTTCTTGTTGGAAGATATTTTGTGATAATGCAAAGGTCTTGTTTCTCATTATTGCAGCCGATAGTTTTAGCTTCTATATATGTATGTATGTATGTATATTTTGGGTTTCTCTGTGTAGCTTTTGGAGCCTGTCCTGGTACTTGGTCTGTAGACCAGGCTGGCCCCAGACTCACAGAGATCTGCCTGCGTCTGCCTCCCAAGCCAAGTGCCTGGATTAAAGGCGTGGTGTGTGTGCCACCACCTGGCTCTACTGCAATGGTCACTTTGTCATGTGATGATTCCCACCTCCACAGTCTCTCTCTGTGTGTTTGTGTGTGTTTAGTAAGGGCCCTGTAGGAATTAGGGCTCAAGGCTGAGGGAGGATAGCAGAAACTCATGGGAGGCAGCTAAAGCCTTGAGCACTGACTGAGTCCTTTTGGTTTCCTGGAGATAAAGGGTAACCCCAAGTTGGACTAGGAAGCCTTCATTTTGCTGACCTTCTGCTAGTTTCCAAGTGTTACTAGTGGCAGGGGCGAGACATCTCGGAAGGACAAGATTTTACTATTGTGTTGTTTGTGTTGCTTTACTTTGGTTTTTTTGTTTGTTTTTCTTTTTTTCTTTTTATTTTACATATCCATCCCACTTCCCTCTCCCTCCCTCCTTCTTTCCCTCTCACCCACCCTCTCACGTCCCCGACCACCCTCCCCTCCCATCCCCCCCACTCCACATGTAGGGTGATGCATTCCAGGAAGGATCATCTAAATCTGTCAAGTCATTTGGAGTAGGGACTAGGTCCTCCCTCCTGCCTCTAGGCTAAGGTAGTTATCCCTCCATGGAGAATGTGCCCCTGAAGTCCTTTCGTGCACCAGGGATACATCCCGGTTCCACTGTCAGAGGTCCCTTAGACCTTCTAACAGAGACCCACATTCCTCTTCTTACTCAGTTATGTATTTGTGAAAGATTCATGGCTATTTCTTTCCCATGGGTTATAATGTAGCACTATCAGCATTCATTTCATCCTTCATCTTCCGTGGATGACAGAATAGGACAGAACAATGACCAAGATGTCAGTTCCAGAAAGAGGGGACAAATCAGCCAAAGCATATGCAGGACCGTGTAAGAACTTTTCGGCACTTTCTCCTTCCATGTGGCATTGACTGTAGGGATCATAAATTAAAGTATTAGAGTACCTTTTATCATGGGCTCCCAAGTGACCTCATATGGCTAATACAGTCCAAACTTTGAGCATATTTCCTTTTCCTTTCTTTATTCTCCTAAAGTTTTTTTTTTGTTTTTGTTTTTTTTTTTTTTTTTTGGATTTTTGATAGGGTTTTTCTGTGGCTTTGGAGCTTGTCCTGGAACTGGAAGTAGCTCTGTAGACCAGGCTGGCCTCGAACTCACAGAGATCCACCTGCCTTTGCCTCCAGAGTGCTGGGATTAAAGGCGTGCACCACCAACGCCTGGTTCTCCTAAGGTCTTGTGTCCTTATCTTTATAGTGTTTGATGAACAGGAGACACGATTTTCCCAAACATAATGGAGTAAAGAACTGCTTGTCTAAAATTGAGTGCCCCATGAAAACAAGCAAACTAACAGAAAGTGAAAGAACAAATAAGCGCTAAGGCTGAACTCATACTTCTTTGGTCAGTAATTCATATTTGCTTTCATTTACTTATTTTTATTTTGAGACACTCTCGCTAAGTAGCCCAAGCTTGCCTTGAACTAAGTAGCTAGCCTGGCCTCTAATTCTGGCTATCATCTTACCTCACCTTCCCTAGAGAAGGAATGACAGGCATGTGCCACCACGCCCAGCAACATCCAGCATTTAACTGTTATTCTATTTCTGTTATTCTCACTCAAGTCAATAAGGGCAACATTTTGTAAGGCTACTCGATCTTTTAAAAGGCAAATTAGTGGCAGAAACATTTCAAAAAACCAAATGGTCTGTCTTTCAAGCTGTGACACCATGGCTTTTCTGTGTACTGGGACAAGGCAGCAAAGCTGCATCACCAGCCTAACTCGCCTTCACCCCTTCACTATGGCTTGTGGTGCACAGTACAAGAGAAAGTCCAAGCCTCCCCGGTCCCCCCACTTTCCCACGCAGGCGCCCTGGGGGTCCCGCCTCCCCACCCGCTAGCCGCGTAGTGACGGAAGGCGCCTCCAGCTCCACCCCTTTTTTGGTTAATTCTTTAATGGGCGGCCGCAGGTTCCTTAGATGGGCGGAAACTTTGCCGGCAGCCATTCTAATTGGTCCACAGACTCGGGCTGCGCATGATGTCGTTTCGACTCGTCACTGCGTTTAGGGCGTGGTCTCAGCTCAGGGCGCCTCAAGGAGACTTGGGGACGCCCAAACCACTCCTTTTGAGTGCCCTGGTGCTGCTGCCACCGCGTCGGTCTGCTGCGCTCCATGAGGAAGATGCTCGCTGCTGTGTCCCGCGTGTTGGCAGGTGCTGCGCAGAAGCCGGTGAGGCAGCCTGAACGAGGGAGGCTGGGGTGGGGCTCGAGCCGGGGCGGGAGGAGGGAGGAACAGATCCCCGGAGAGCTCTGCCGGGAGCCGGGACGAGCTACAGAGCTCGCATGGGCCTCCTGCGCGGTGCATGTCGCCCCAGCCCGGGGAGGAGTAGCTTGAGAACGGTCCCCGTCCACCGGGCCTAACCCCAGTCCCCACTGGCAGACCTCGCTAGCTCCCCAGCAGTGCCCCAGATCCTCCCGTTGCTAATGGGACACCAGGAGGCGGAGCTTGGGTTTGCTCCAGCCTCCATGGACTCTGCTGACTTGCACTCTCCTTCTTGTCATTGCTCTTAGCCAAGAGGCCACGTAAGACGAAATAAAAAGCTCGCAATCCCCGGAGTCAGAGGTTCCGTGCACACCCCGACTTCATCGCTTGCTAGTATTGAGTCCTTACCAAGTACTAACAAGAATTAAAGTTTTTATTTAATCGTCCCAGGGCCCAGTTTCTTCATCTGTATAATGGAGGTACTAAGAACGCTAGCTCATGGTTATCTTGAGTCAGGGAGTTGCACGTGTGCCAACCTTTCTGCCTGGCGCTTATGGGTGCCCAGCTGGGTACGCGTTTGTGGATTACCTACCTGTGCTCGGTTCTGAGTAGGGTCAGGCTCATGGAAAACAAACTTCCTCCACTCCCTTTTTTTTTTTTTTTTTTTTTTTTTTTTTTTTTTTTTTTTTTGTCAATTTTAGAGCAATCGAGCATAACCCAGAGGAAGCCGCCTTTACCCTTAAACACACAGAGGCTTACAGTTCAAAGTTGTGAAAGAAAACAGCAATGGTTTTAGGAGAACAAGGATTAGAGGTTAAGACTTACTTATGGCCTAGGCTTTAAGAGGTGTCTAACTCCTAAGCTTTCAGTATTTTGACCTCTAGCCTAGCCACAGACCTTGCATTTTCTTGGTGTAACTGCCACCAGTCTTTGACTTGTAATTCGTGTTCTGTTGATTTCTTCAGGATTTGGTGCAATTCTCCTTAGTTTGGGGAGATTGTGGAAAGGTTGAAGGTGTACTTCTCTAGGAATTCCATTAAGTAATAGAAAAATACCGTTTTATTGAATGAACGCTCTATTAGTGTTTGAATCTGAATCAGCAGTAAATCACACTTCTTAATGTGTCTTTGCATATGTGTAGGCCATTTGTTGAGCTCTTATTCTGTGCCCTGAATTTAGTCAGGATATTCACAGGTGTTAACTGCATTGTTAATTTGTAATTGGTTTGAACAACTTTCTTGTGTGTAGAAATGTTAGTTGAAGGGATATCTGTTTATAGCTTCGAAATAAAGTTGAAAACTAAAGAAGCTTTGTTCCCCTCATTGGGAAGGGGAAACACCAGTTCTTACTAAATCAAAATTTTGAGAAGTTGAATTAGAATCTGAAAACAACAAAAAACTACCTTGCACTTTTAAGACATGTGCTCCGTATTTGGAGTATTGGGGCAATAGGAGGCTGGGAACGCCCTTAAATATTTGTTAGACTCTAGACACTAACTTTAGGTGTGTTTAGTTTCCTTTATTCACCTTAGCAGGAAAAAATTTGAATTCTACAGTTGAATTCACCATAGAAAGAATCCAGTTATTTTGCTCACTTGGTGGTGTTATGGTGTAAATTTTCCAATAGCCTAGCTTTTCAATTCTTTTTTGAGACAAGGTCTTTCACTATATCCCAGGCTGGCCTGGAACGGAGGTCTGCTTACCTCTACCTCTTGACCGGTTGCATTAAAAACTTGTGTTACCACATCTGGTGTTCGAAGATGGTGGGAGGAGTAGCTTGAACTGTGTTTGCACCTGACTTTTTTTTTTTTTTTTAGTATATGGCTCACTGTGGAGCTCTGACCATACTCCAGTCACAGAGATCCATGCCTGCCTTTGCCTCCCAGTGCTGAGATCAAAGGCGTGCACCACACCATGCCTGGCTGTTACATTTTTTTGTGACTTTCTTTGTGACTAATACTTGTTACATGCTAATTAGGAACCATTCCTGAAACCTTTCAGAATGTTGAAAACTTAGGTTTCATTTTTATTCTCAGAGTAGACCTCTAAACCCTATCTTTTTATAGGTTGCAATTTTAAGTAATTGCAGTTTTTTTTTTTTTTATTCCAGCCCGTGTAACACAAAATAGCTCAATTTCTAGGTTTTCATGTTAAACATGTGAAATTATTCTTACAAATAGTAAGCAGTGGCTCTTGAGAGATAACAAGGGATACTCACTGCTGGAGGGGGTTCATTACCAGGAGTCACCTTGATTGCTGAGATACTGTGTCTAAATGTAATCCCCTATTTTCCTCTGAGGCTCCTACCTGTTTTGTACCTTTCCACTTTCTATTATGGAAGTGTGGAGATTTACTTCAGTTTTGGGTGTGGAACTTTGAAATGGATTATAAAAGTGTGCTTTTACTTTTTAATGAGGTGAAGACTGAACTTTAAAAACTTTTATTTTGCCTTATTGCTTATATTTGTTATGTACCTTTTGTGAGATTTTTTTTACTACCAATCTCTTTTTTTTTTCTGGTCTTTTCGTATGAGGTAAAGTTTTTAATTCATTCTGAGAATTCTTAATACTTTTGAAAATTCTTTCTGTATTTAGATACAAGTTTTTGTTTTATTGAAGAAATTGTTCAAGGTCTCTGGGAAAGGAATTTCATTAGGGTAGTGTAGCTCAGAGTATGCACATAGTGTTCAATCCCCAGCCAACCCCCCTCCCAAAAAAAGAAAACCCAACAGGAATCCCATTTAAAGAGAATTACTTTTGCTTGTTTGTTTTAGACAGTATTTCTCTGTGTATCCTGGCTGCCCTTGAACTCCCTCTATATAGATTACACAGAGATCCACCTGCCTCTGCCTCCTGAGTGCTAGGACTAAAGGTGTGCCCCACCACACCCAGCTCTATAAATTGTATCTTTGAGAAAGAAAGAACTTAACCTTTGCTAACAATGCCTGGTCAGTTTGTGAATGAAAAATAAATAGGAAAGGAAAGGAAAGAACTGTTCCTAGGTATGGTTGAGGAGAGTTTATTGTAGGTATATGGGAGAGCATAGTCAGAAGTAGGGGTATCTGGGATAGTTCAGAATGGACAGGACCACACTTGAGTTGGGCCATGTAGGGAGCAGGGCAGAGGGAACAGGGAGAGAGGGGAACCAAGTGTAGCAACCAGGAGGCCTAAGAAGGAAAGGGAGGGTTAACCACAATGTCTGGATTATATGGGGAAGAGCCTCTGGGGGAAGGCAGTCCAGCCCCAGGGCTGGAGAGCTCAGGGTAAAGGACTGGGGGATGCTGGGAGAACCTGGCTGGCAGGTCCAGCTTTGATATGTTAAATAGGCACCTTGGTGTTTGTTGGGGGTTTGAAATTTAGTGTCTGCCTTAGATTTTCCCCCAAATTAGTTTCTTATTTTGCAATAGAATAGCTATTTCTAGCTCCACAAAATACTTTGTTTTTTGAGACTGGGTTTCTCTATATAACAGTCCTGGCTGTCTTGGAACTCACTTTGTATGTAGACCATTCTGTGTTCCCAACTCACTGAGATCCTCCTGCCTGTTTCTCCCAAGTGCTGGGATTAAAGGTGTGTGCCACTAGTGCCCTGCCAAAAAATGGCACAATCATTTGTTTGCTACTTGGCTGGTCTCAAGTTTAAGCTTTTTTTCCTATATTTTTACCCCCCGCATTTTTCTTTTTATTTCTTGTTTTATTATTATTTTTTGTTTGTTTTTGGAGACGGTTTCTCTGTATTGTTTTGGAGTCTGTCCTGGAACTAGCTCTTGTAGACCAGGCTGGCCTTGAACTCATAGAAGTCCCCCTGCCTCTGCCTCCCAAGTGCTGAGATTAAAGGTGTGCACCACCACCACCTGGCTATTTTTCTTCATTTTTAGATAGCCATGTTTACAAATTCTCTCTACCTCTGATTTAACTGCAGCATTCATTACTGGTATTTAGTTAATATTTTTCCTCGGGTAGTGTCATTGCCATTGTTGGCTTTATCAGATAACAATAGTTGCCATATTGTGCCTCTCTCCACCTTGTGTCCATGACTTTGCAAATTTCCCTAGTTTCAGTTACCTCTTGTCAGATGTGGTCTGAAAATACTCAAGGACAAGTTCCAGAAAGAAATAATTCATGAATTTTAATCTGTGTGCTATTCTGACTAGAATGGTATAATCTTCCACTGTCCTGATTACATTAGGATATAAATCATCCCTTTGGTCAGGTGTCCACTCTGTATACTCCACCCACCCGGTTCATTACCAGGAGTCACCTTGATTATCATCAGATCAACTCCCTTGGTGTCACAGTCCTCACACATGGAATTAGGTGTTAGCAGTGGTTTTATGCTTCTGCTGAGGTTCTAAGACTATATCCTGTGCATAGATAGAGGCTACTGCAAGCCTGTAATTCCAGCATTGGGAGTGGAGGCCATGGAAAAGAGCGAGAGAGATAGGTAGATTTTTCACTCTGCCTGTTGCTTCATACACTTGGAGGTATAGTTAGTATGCTGATTTTAATTGACCAAGGTCAAGTCCAGTGCTTCAAATTATATTGGGTTACATATTAAACATGCTTTTTTATGGGATCTGGTAAATATGCTTTACATCTCCAGGAAAAGAAATGATGCTAGTTTAAATGTAAGTATGTGAAAATGTGGCAGTGGCTAGAATAGAATAATTGTTTTTGTGGTCTATCACTTAGAATGTTTTTGTTGTATTCTGATTGTTCAGTTGTGAGAGTAGAAAGGAATCAGTAATGATAGCCACTCAAACCAGTCAGGGGAATATTGTTTTTAAGAAATTCTTCTGTTATGGGGCTTCAGGAGGAGCCTTCTCAAGATTTAGGCTGCTCCTGTTGTAGAATGGCTGACCCAAGTTCATTGTTTTTGACAAGTGTTAACATGTTTCTCACTAAGGTATCTATCCCATACTTTAGGTTTTTTTTTCTTCATGAGTACATGTCATAGAAAAGTAGCTTGCCTTAAATAGGAATTAACAATTTTATTTGCAGCATTTTCAAATAAACTTAAAAAGCCCACAGATAGTCTGGTTTCTTCAATTTGATCGGTTATTATTCTCACTGTAATTGCTTTGAAAAAAAAGTAGAAACTGGATAGGCTTGACATTTGCCACCTTCCTTTTTGTCTTCAGATAGTGATATGGCTGTGTTTAAAATCCATAAGCAGCCAGGTGGTGGTAGTTCACTGCCTTTAATCTCAGCACATGTGAGGCAAAGACAGGCAGATCCCTATGAGTTTTAAGACCAGCCTGGTCTACAGAGTGAGTTCTAGGACAGCCTCCAAAGCTGCAGAAAAACTCTGTCTCAAAAAACTAAAAATAAGAAAAAAGTCCATAAGCATGCATTCATGATAATGACTTGCTCTTGACAGTTAAAAAGGAAAGTAATGACTTTATTTGCATATTTTTTTTGTTTCTAGGCGAGCAGAGTGCTAATAGCTTCCCGTAATTTTGCAAATGATGCTACATTTGAGATTAAGGTAAGAGGTGTTTCACTTTGTGTTTCTAATTTTTTTCACTGGTATAGTAAAATTCAGTTTCATCTTCAAGGAATATTTTGATACTGGTGCTTTGAAGATGGAGTTACTTTCTTTCAAATATTCTAGAATCAACGGTTCCGAGAAGTTTAGCAAGAATAACTTGCTGGTAGTTTAAGGGAGAGGGGCTTGGAAAGTATACTTTGGCCGGGTTGTCCAACTGCTTGACATTCTGATATGTTGTCATCTACACATATGTTGGGTTGACCCTGGCACATGACCCTTCTTGACCCAGAGGTTGGGTATAACTGTGGTATGGGGTGTTAGTCAGTGAAACATTGATGATTGTAAATTTAATGAATCAGAAGCATTTTGAAGCACTGTTTTTGTTTTGGAGGCAGAGGTTCATGGACCCAAACTCTTTATCTATCTAGCAAATAGCCTTGAATTCTTGCCTCCTGCCCTCACCTTTCAAGTGATGGGATCAAGGTGTGTGCTTTCACACATTATTCTTGAAGCAGTGCTGAGGCTTGTGTTTCTTTACTGTTGTTCAAGTTGTGTATTACTTGTGTGAAGTTGGATCTGAAAACAAGTCAGCAGTGTTTGTGAAGTAGTAACTGGTGGGTGACCACCTTATTTCATTTCAGAAATGTGACCTTCATCGGCTAGAAGAGGGCCCTCCCGTCACCACCGTGCTCACCAGAGAGGATGGGCTCAAGTACTACAGGATGATGCAGACTGTGCGGCGAATGGAGCTAAAGGCAGATCAACTGTATAAACAGAAAATTATTCGTGGTTTCTGTCACTTGTGTGATGGTCAGGTAAGTGGTAGGTTTGTTATACAGCCATGTTTGTTAACTAGGATATTTAAATAGGTTTCTCTTTCTTTATGGCTTCTTTCCTCTCATCTCTTTTACTTCCCCTTCAGGCTTTTAGAATTAAAAAAGCACCATTCATTTACTTATTTTGTTATATGTGGGGTGAGTGTGTGTGTGGTGGGGAGTTAGAGGACAGCTTGCAGGATTTGGTTCTTTTACCATTTTGGTTCCAGGGATTGAACTCAAGCTGTCAGGCTTGATAGCAAATTTCTTTACTCACTGAGTTCGTTTTCTGTGTCTGTTCTCCCATTGTTCATGATGGCTTGAAATTTCTGGAACTTGACAATGCTACCTCATCCCCCTGAATGCTGGGATTATAGGCATGAACCATCACATTTAGCTTTAAATATGGTTTCTGTTTATTTTCACCCTCTTTCATGGGTCAGAAGGATTTGAAATGAGGATTTCAGAATAAATTCTAGAATGCTGGGACCCACTGTAAATTTTAACCCTAAGAATTCATTTATACTTACCATGTCTGACTTTTATATCTGTTCTTAGAATTCTATAGTTTTAAAATTTGTTAGAACACCACTCATCTACACTGAATATATTCTTGGGAAAAAGCTATTTTGTTGTTTTCTGTCTGTGTGTATTAGTTACTTCCTTTTGTGACAAAATAGCCAACAGAAGCAACTTCTGCAAGTGTTTATTTTAGCTCATGGCTTGAAGGTACAGTCCATCTTGGTGGGGAAGGCATTGTAGTGGAAGATGCAGAGATAGCTAGCTAGTCACATTGAATCTGCAGTCAGGAAGCAGAGGTACTTTTAGCTTGCTTTCTCCTTTTTATTCAGTCTGGGATCATAGGCTATGGGGAGGAGCTATCCACATGTAGGGTGGGTCTTCAGTCTAAGAAACTTATTCATGGACATACCCAGGTGATTCTAGAGATTTTGAAGTTGACAGTTACAGTCACTGGGTTATAGCCACTGGTTCCAAATTCAGAAGCCTGCAGGAGCTAGCTAGATGGAAGCCATGTATAACAAAATGTGGAGAGTGTAAAACGGCTCAGTGGTTGGATGGTTTTTCCCTACTCAGAGAGGTCATGACTTGGTTCCAGTCAGTTACTTCCATGTGGAAACACAGAACTAAGCCTTTTTTTTTGTTTGTTTACATGCATTCTATCAATCTTCTAATGTTAACTATCTGACTAGCAGATTATATTTTTAAACACTGTCCAGGCTAAAGGATTGTGGATTTGTTATGGCTTCTGGTTTGGACCTTACCCTCTACTTTGTTTTTTTTTTTGATGAAAAAGTCATTTTCTTTGAGTTACTAATGATGGGTTTTGTTTTTGCTTTTCTAGACAGGGTTTCTCTGTGTAGACCAAACTGACCTGAATCTCACAGAGATCTGCCTCTGTCTGCCAAGTGCTGGGATTAAAAGTGTATGCTACCACTGCCCAGCTTGATCCATGGTTTTTAAAATGTTGGGTCTCTAATAGAAACTTTTTATTCAAAAATAAATAATGGCATTGCTTCATGGTTCTTCCTTTACTACAGGAAGCCTGCTGTGTGGGCCTGGAGGCTGGCATAAACCCCACAGACCATCTCATCACAGCCTATCGAGCGCATGGCTTCACCTTCACTCGGGGCCTACCTGTCCGAGCAATTCTTGCAGAGCTAACAGGTTTGTTATGGATTTACAGAGAGGGATAGTGAGTGGAGGAAGTTTTAAAATGTCTCCCATTAAGTTATTAAGCATTACAAGTTAGTGGTAAAAAAAATTTAGGAATTTTGATTTTGAAACTAGCCTTCTGATGTGTATCCTGGTACCTCTGTGCCTCTGAGTAAAACCATTTATGAGGTCATCTGGCCCCTTTGGTGAAATTGGAAAAGCATAGCCCTATACATTAGAAATCTATCAGATTAATTGGATTGAAGTGCTTTGTGAAATGTAGGCAGATTTCTAGACAATCTATTTATATTCCTCTTTTCTGTGACTGTTTTGAACCTTACATTATCTAGTGTGCCAGACTAGAAGTGAATGAATGAACCCAGTGTAACATCTAAGGTAATTAGGTGATTATGGAGCAGGCACCATTGGGTTAGCCTAACCTCCTTATCCTAGACAGAGATGAGGAGTGGTTTTCTGGAGACAGGTGTTTGGACAATTGGATTTTGTGGTGGTTATTGCTCTGTGGTTGGTTTTTCATGCATGTGTATGTGTGCTGCCATTTCTAGGACGAAGAGGAGGTTGTGCTAAAGGGAAAGGCGGATCGATGCACATGTACGCCAAGAACTTCTATGGAGGCAATGGCATCGTTGGAGCTCAGGTAGTTGAGCAAGAGCACATCCTTTATATATTTGATACTGGCCTGTGCTTCACTCTAGAGAAATTGTCTGAAGAGTTTGATAATTTGGGAGTTTGGTTTGTCTTTAATTGCTTATCGTACCATTTATTAATTAGATTTGGGTACTGATTTGAAGTTTGTTTTTGTGTTTTATGAGTAAGAGCCTATAGTATTGGAGCTATCCCTTCACCTTTTTAATATGTCAGTAAAAGTTAATGGCTCGTCACCTCACTTCATTCACTGACTTAGTACTCATAGGCAGTGCAAGCACTGGGGTCCAATTATAAGAGCTGCTATAAAAATCAAAGGCCTGATGAGAAGTGAAATGTAACAGCATGCAACAATATCTTCTACAATAGGAGAGATAAACACACACACACACGTTAAAATATGTATTTTAATATATATTAAAATCTATGTTTCGTTTTTTATCTTGCTGGAATCAGTACTTAAATCTTTGGGTGCAGAAATGTGAAACTATAGGATTTATTCATGTTTTTTTGAAAATAACAGGGTTGGGAATGAAAACTCAGCACTGGTTTAATTTCCCAGAATCTCTTCAGGAGTTGAAATTTAAATGCATTTTAACCCTGATTAACTCCTACAGTTCCTTTCTTGGTTGTTGTTTCTGTTAGGTGCCCCTAGGAGCAGGGATTGCCCTGGCCTGCAAGTACAATGAAAAAGATGAAGTGTGTCTGACATTATATGGTGATGGTGCTGCTAATCAGGTAAGCACATCTCTTAATTTTCATTACAGTTACTTTGTTTCCAAGTTGTGACTGGTCATACTTGGATTTAAAAAGAAGTGACATAATGTTTATTAACTGAATAGGACTTCATGTGGCTGACATGAGAGATTTACTTTTTGACATGAGTTATCAGACCCTTCTAAGGGCACATTTCTGTGAGGAAACTCCTCTTTGCTTTGTATTAGTACTTTGCAAACATACTCTGTCGAGTTTTTTTTTTTAATTTCTTTTTAAAGATCTATTTATTTCTAGTTTTGCCCGCATACATGTTTGTGCACCGATGGAGGTCAGAAGGTCCCCTGGAACTTGGGGTTAAGGATGGCTGTGAGCTGCCATGTGGGTGCTGGAGACTGAACTTGAGTTCTCCACAAGAGCAGTATTTGCTCTTACAGCTGAGCCATAGGTCCAGCCTCACTTGTTAAATATACCCCATTATAAACCAATAGTGTGATACAGAGGCTTTTACTTTTTTGGACTCCAGGGCAATGCCAGATTCCTATGTTTGAACCTTGGCTCTTGTTTTCAGTAATTAACCCTGGATGGCTCTTAGTTCAACCCTGGCCGAGATGCTGAATGTCAGATGCTGGTGTGCTCTGATTATCTGGTCAAGTGAGTGTGTGACAGATTGATAGCGGAGTATAAAACTCAGGTGCTTTTCCATGTTCCTCTTTGCAGTGTGGTCTGTATTAGTAGACCCCCAAAATTTAGTCTAGTTGTTACAATACCCACCATATTTCCCTATCACAGCCAGGGCATGCTCCTTTCCCTCACCACTGGAAACTTTGTGCAAGCAACAACTGTTAGATTAAACCACTCAAACATTTTTTTTTAGGGGCAAATATTTGAAGCTTACAATATGGCAGCATTGTGGAAATTACCTTGTATTTTCATCTGTGAAAATAACCGCTATGGCATGGGGACATCTGTTGAGAGAGCAGCGGCCAGTACAGATTACTACAAAAGAGGAGATTTTATTCCTGGACTGAGGGTAAGGTTCCTTAAATGTAGAGACAGAACCATATCCTGTTAATTCTGGACGCTCTACAGTTTTATCACATTACTCCTGAATAGGTCATTAAGAAGTTGAATGGGAGGGCAAGAGGTGTGTGGCTCAGTGGCAGAGCACTTACCTAGCATGTGTGAGGCCCTGGGTTCTATTCTTCAGCATCACAATAAAAGGGAAATGGATTTGGATAGTTTATTTTATTTACATTCTGCCTCTACTAACAGGTAGATGGAATGGATATCCTGTGTGTCCGAGAGGCAACAAAGTTTGCAGCTGCCTATTGTAGGTCTGGTAAGGTAAGATGAGATTATAGATTTATGATGCTATTATCTCAAGGTTAAAAGAAGCCTTTCCAGACAGCTGTTGGAGCTATCTTGGGGTAATGACTAAATGAGCTCTCTAAGACAAGCATAGTCTAGTGAGGTAGCATGGTCTTAATTATGTGTTCCCATCCCTCTGTTAATCATAAATCCCTTGAATGATCAAACTTGGAATCCCCATAATGTGCAATTTTACTTAAATAATAGACATTCAAGTGCAATCTTGCTGCTTTACCTGTCGGTGTATGGCAGTGAGGGGAGAGGGGAACAGAGACTGGCTTAAAAGGTACAAGTAGCTAAGTTTAACTGGCAGTTCTAACCAAGAAAATATGCCCCTGCAGTTTATTTACTTTTGGTAAATTTGAGAAGGATGAAACATGAGATAAATAAGAATCAGTCCATACTGGGTGGTGGTAGTGTACATCTTTTTAATCCCAGCGCTCAGAGGAGGTGGAGGTGTACATCTTTTTAATCCCAGCGCTCAGAGGAGGTGGAGGCAGGTGAGTTTTTTTTTGGCCAGCCTGGTCTACAGAGAGAGTTCCAGGATAGGCTCCTGTCTTTGAAACAAAACAAAACAAACAAAAAAAAAGTCAGTCCAAGTGGTGGCACATGCCTTAAGATTTCCAGCACTTGGCCAGGCAGAGCATCTCTGCATTTGAGGCCTGGCTGGACTACAGAGTGAGTTACAGGAAAGCGAGAGCTGTTACACAGAGAAACCCTGTCTTGAGTTAACCAGTAAACTCTTGACAACTCAGCTGATACATAGAAGATGGTTTAAGACTTTGGGATGTGTGCCAAGAATCAATACATTCTTATCCATATGTTTAGGGGCCCATCCTGATGGAGCTACAGACTTACCGTTACCATGGACATAGTATGAGCGACCCTGGAGTCAGGTAAAGTCATGGGGTATCTGTGTGGTTCCCATGGTAAGTGGCAGGCTTTGAGCTACTTAAATAAAATGGTAGAATACTTCATTATGGCTCTTACAACCAGATAAAATTATTTTGTTGGCACCAAGTGGTTGTTTTGAGTCATATCTGAAAGCAGACTGAGATCCCTACAATGTATTTTACGTGTTAGCATGAGCAGGTATAGCTAAATTGAAATGTGGAATGGTCAAGAGAATTATTTTGGGGGTCATTTAGTTTATGTGGGTATTCCCCCAAATTCAGGCATGTAATAGTCTACCCATAGAGTACTGAGATTAGGGAGCAAGGCTGACTTAGTTAGCCATATAGCAAGTTTAAGTTGTTCTAGCAGGCTTAACACAAAGTTCAGCCATTGTAGAATGGACTAAGGCAGTGTCTCTCAACCTGAGAGTTGCGATGACCCTATTTTATGATGGGGGGGGGGGAATCATCACAACACGAGGAACTGTACTACAAGATTGTGGCACTATGAAGGTTGAGAACCACTGGACTGAGGGAAACAAAAAAAAAAATTAGGTGAAAAATGGATTTTGTATAGTAATTGTCCACTCATATAGAAGAACCCTTACATTTTATCAGAAACCTGGTGTGTTCAGGATTTTGCTGGCCATGCTGCTTTGTATGAGGCTTCAAATCCTATAATTCACCACTGTGAGCTCTCCCTTGCTCCATCCATGTAAAAACTTGAGACTAAAGGGGGTAGAACTGGTGACCCTTTCTTCCAGATCAAAGAAACATAAACTTGGCTCTCATCAGAATGCCAGTGAAGCCCCAAGTGTACAGTGAATAACTTTCTATAAGAGATGCATAACAGCTTGTCACCCCTACTATTCTCATGGTGACATTGGTATTAGCTTGTTCCTCTCAATTCAGAAATACACTATACTATATACTCTATACTTCACTAAAGCTGTCTGGTTCACAGGTACGGTTCTTATGGTTTTGTCATTGCATCCCTCTTCCCCATAGTTACCGCACTCGAGAAGAAATCCAGGAAGTAAGAAGTAAGAGTGATCCTATTATGCTTCTCAAGGATAGGATGGTGAACAGCAATCTCGCAAGTGTTGAAGAATTAAAGGTACAGTTTCTCTTGGAGATTTAAGTCTGGCTTTTAAAGTATAAGGATCTGAGGCTGGATTTCCAGCACCCACATAAGATGGGCACAGTGATGCGTGTGTACAATGCTATCTGGATAGAGCTGGAGAGTAATAGATGCCCGATATCAACCTCTGGCTTTCACATAGAATTAAAAAGTTGAAAGATTTATAAGCACATTTAGTATAGGAACAGGTTCTCAGACATACTAGTTGGTTCCAAAGCTGCCCTTAATTGAAAAACCTCTTGGATTATATTCTGGTGTTTAGGAGATTGATGTGGAAGTGAGGAAAGAAATCGAGGATGCTGCCCAGTTTGCTACAGCTGATCCAGAGCCACCCTTGGAGGAACTAGGCTATCACATCTACAGCAGTGATCCTCCTTTTGAAGTACGTGGTGCCAACCAGTGGATCAAGTTTAAGTCAGTCAGTTAATGGGAAACTGAAATGGATGGGTGTTGGGCGGTCATCATTCACTGTAAGAACAGGTAATACCCAAACACAAAAGGTTTTGAAAACATGTAAATTAAGGAAGAGTAAGTTGCATGTAGTTTGTATGTTGTATGCAGTGTATCCATGTGAATAAGAGTGTATTGGATTTGTATAGGATTTGAAATGGGTATTGTAGAGTTTATAACTTTCCCTCATCATATCATATCCTATAACAGTTACTAAAAGTAATAACTGCCACTTTTTGTGGTGTGGTCATAGATAGTTATATGTCCTCGAGGAGGCATGCTGGGATTAATGAAATGCACTGGAAGAGGCGTAGCAGCCACCACCCTGCATTGTGGAGGCTGACATCTTGTTGTCACTGATCATCATGTCTCTGATCAAAGGCTATATAAAATCAGGCATTTTAAAATAATGCTACTTCAAAGGTAAAATAATTTAATTTTCTCCATTTAGACATTTAACACACATGAACTTGGACTCTCATTGCAAGGCACACTTTAACTAACATTTAAGTATTATGCTTTATCTTTACAGCAGTTGCTATAAGGTATGTTAACTTTTTAAATGAAATATAATCCTAAGACTTCAATACACTAACTAGATCATGGTTGATGTTACATACAATCCTGTTTTCACACAAGGATGACCTAAATTATACATGCTTGAATTAAGTAAACAGGGGTCCTTCTGTGTAAATGCAGGATTTGTGTGTACACGAACAGAAGCTTTGGCCATAAGCAGGTAGGGTATTTGCTTATTCTCTCCAGCTTGGCTCAGTGTGAGGACTCTTGCATTTGTCTTCTGTGCTGGGAGACTGCATGCCAGAGTCTACAGAGGATACCACCACTGCAAAACAGGAGTTTCCATAAGAAAAGCAAATTTGAAAATAGTCACCTCACAAGTAAGAGAAAGCAAGTATTTTAATTATTGTGTGTCTTTGTCTAGACTTGGTGGCACTGTGTAGAGGTGTGGGCATTTAAACAAGAGTGGAAAGATAAGATTGGAGGAAGCTACCAGCATTTTGTCATATTTCATTTTTAATATTTCATTTTTAAAATGTTCACTAAGACCTATTATTCGAAGCATTTGGAAGCTCTTACCGTAGTCTGAGGCACCTTAGGTCTTCCTTAGTAATATCATTGAGAATATCAGAAAGTGTATAATCCTCTTCAACAATCTGAAACAGTGATTCAGTGTATGAGATAAGCAGTTTTTCAACAATATCATAGGAATACTTTGATTTAGAAATGTACCTTTTCTATTGTATTAGCATCCGCTCCTTGTAGTTGCAACCAGTCTATGAGCTCTCTGTCTGTTCCCAGTTCATCAGGAGGTGCAGGATTCTCTGTACCACCTATGGTTCCAATTTTGGTTTATTGTATAGTACTGTATAACCATAAATTGCTTCAAAAGTAAAGTGGATGTAATGATGTATCGAAACAGAATGTAAATGTGATGTCAAAAGGAGACAAATAAAACTTTTTCGATTCAGCTACTTTTATAATTCTTGGGTTTCCTTTCCAGAGAGTAAATAGTCATCTCCTTTAATACGTTTGGAATTGGAGATATTACCAGCCTCATTTATCATCTTGAATAAGTGTCTTTACCTTAGGCTGATTACACTAAAACTCGAAGAAGCCAGTGTCAAGATTTGATGGCAGGGTTTATGTCTAGTTTTTTTTTTTTTTTATGCTTTAAGGGACAGATTCTAATTAAGGTATACTTTTTATAAGATTGTGGGATGACTTACAGTCAAGATACATTTTTGTATCTTAATCTTCTGGGCTCTCCCACTACCCACTGTGATTTTTTCCCAGTGACCTTATATGGTAGCCCCAACCATTTATAATTTAATAGTTTTTCCATCTTTGACACCTTCATCAGAGCAAAGTGAAAATGACTTACCACTGGATTTGTATTGTAACTGAAGGTGATGTAATTCTTGAGTTTTCTGTTCTAGAGTTAGCCTTAGAAGATTCTGGTATTCTCTTTCTTTTTGAACCAGGTGTTCCCAAAGTCTGTTTTTAAAAACAAAACCTCCAGTCACTCATTAAGTATCCACATTCAATTCAAACATCTGGTATTGGAAAAGAAAGAAAAGGGCACAGCCCAAATCCAAACTGTGGGGCCCCAAAGGAAATCAGGTTGATTTGTTACTAAAGATTTTTGTCAGTAGTTTTCATCCTATATAGGGAAACCATGGTTTTCTTCTTGACACCAAAGACCCAATACTGAGAGTGTGGGTATATTTTTGCAATGGAGTCATTGATTGTATCCATCTTGAAATTTATGTTAAAATGGTAGGAACAGGCCTGGGAAATTAGTGCCTTGTCGCCATTTGAGGACATGGAGTGTACAGCTATCTATGCACCCTCACCAGACATTGAATCTGCCACCAGTACATTGATTTTTTTTTTACTCTGAAGTATGCAGAGATATGAGAAATTTTTGAATATTCTGTAAGAACAGCCTTCTACAGACTAAGACAGTTTTGTTTCAAAATGTATCAGGAACCAAAAGTCAACTTGCTGTTGATCATTAAAATGTGGCCAGAAGGACCATCTGACTATTCAAACCAAGTGAGATAAAGTAGCTGACTCTAGGATGGGCAGCCTTCTTTCTGCACTCGTTAGTAGCCAAAGCAAGAGGACTATTTGGCAAGATCAAAGATGGGCAGTGGAAACTGCAGTTGCAGAAGAGGAATGCTGCTAACAGTCACTTAAGAGTACTCTAACACCTAGGACTGTCCATAGTACATTTAAACCTTAAACAATTCTTAGTAAACATTCTTTTCCAAAGAATAGTTTAAGCAATTTACTGTGTCTCGGGGTGGGGCCTGTGACATGTAGTCTTACTCATGGTCTCCCTGGGACATGAAAGGCAAGTCTTGGTACAGTTAATCCTCAGACTTCTGGATCTCCCCATGCTAGCTCATTAACAGCAGTAGGGAACAGGGTTGGGGTCAGAACCATGGCTGGTCCTTTTTGTTTGCTCATGTATCTAATAAACAAGATTACTTTAACCACATGGCATGTCTTAATTATCTACTAGTGAACTAAAGACTATAGGACTAAGCTTTAAAGTACAGGAGTTCATTATTGATTTTGCCCAAGAAGGCACAGTCATAACAGTTTGTGGGGGGTCATTTGGTAGCAAAATGGGGGAGAAGTGCATACTTCAACCCTAGCAAGACAAGAAAATACAAGTGTTTTAACACGTTAAAAAATCCTCTCATCTCTGCCCTGCCTGCCTGCCTTTGTCTCAAAAAGCTCCTCTTTGAGCACATTAAGTAGCTTGAGCCTCTGGTGGTTAATGGAAAGGATTCCCATTTTTGTTTATGTCACACCGTGAGGATAGGCGGGCTGTGTATTAGCTAGTCACAACACTGAGTTGGATGATTACAAATCTTTCTGCAAAGACAATTTAAAGAAAAGGTAAGTTTTATCATTTTAAAACTCCTGAGTGTTTGCCATCATGGTCATTTAAATTTCAGGCCTTAAAAAAATATCTACCTAAGATCAAAGTTCTGAGTCCCCTGAGGGTTATATATTTTCATCCAAAATGTGTGCCCACAGTACATTTCCCCATTCATACAGTAATGCCACAAGCAACAATGTGTCATTTGGAACAAACAGCTACTTTACTTTAACTGGACAGTGGGTGATTTTAAAAAGCTTATTTTCCAGAGCAAAAGGGAATTATGTTACTCGCTTACAAGGTTAGATACTAATGCTTGCCTAGGAATCCTAACAAGTTACTGGGAAGGCTACAGGATACACAACTGTCTGCAGTGTTACACTGTCCCACTTCTCCCAATTGCTTCAGCTGGGCAGGATACATACAGCTGTCCATTGCCGGGCCACATGCCATGCCAGAGCTCTACCATGAAGACAAAACTCCAGTTTATGCTGCTGCTTTTGGTATGACAGATTTGTATGTGACCTGTAACACAACACTACTGATTCCTGGCATTGAAGAAAAAGAGTTTACTGCTGATGTTGTAAATGTTCCCTTGCCCTAGTTCACTTACATATACTTTCTCTCTGCCCCTCACACCTGGATAAAGTTTTTAAGTGACCAGACTTCTTATACAGGGTGTGCGAGATCCTGACCTGTTGTTCTCTTGTCTGAGCATGCTTAGTTGGAGAGTTGGGTCCTGCTGGTCAGGCTGTCCATCCTGGATAGCCACTGAGCCAGGTCTGGAACCTCTGGGTGTCACGTGTACTTGGCCAATCAGGTCTACTAAGGGATAGTCCCCTTCTGCTTCTGTGTCCTTGTCTACCCCTTCAGTCTCAGAGGCAGGTTCAAAGTGGGCTTGGAGCTCTGTGGAAACACAGACCAAGGTACAGAATAGCACTCAACAAGGCAATTCAGTGCACTACTTTCTGTATGAGGGGACTACTGACTAAAGAGATGATTTGATTGGACTCTGAAGTGTAAATATAGTCCTTCCTACTTTACACAAGAAGAAATGGATAATGAAGGCTGGAAAGACCAATTAACCACAGATGGCTACAAATAGGTCTGTGCTCTGCTTGGTGCCTGTTCCAAGGAACATTTGAGAAAGCAAGCAGAAGTGACCAGCAAGGGCCCAGTGTGAAGAGGGGAAGGGAGACTAACAATTCTAAACCCCTGCCTTTCCTTAGCCAAAGTACCAGAGGAAAAGCAACTTGGCCATTAAGCTCATGATAACATTTCAAAAAGGAGGCCTCCTAAGATTAGGCTGGGAGCACATAGCTCAGAGGCACAGTATGTACTTCAGAACACATAAGACCCCGAGTTTGTCCCCCAGAATGGACATGCACACACAGAGCAAGACCTATAGCCATGTTTCCTCTAAGAGAAGGAACAGCCATGTAATTATCAACTATCTGATAAGCACTAGAGGATCCCTGCCTCCAGACATCGACTTCTTGTTAAACTCAAAAGTATAATCTATACACAGTCATCTTAATTATACCCAGGAGGTAGGTAAACAGGGCTCACAGACTTAGTCCCAGAAAGTTCTATGGCAGCATTTATTTGGGGAAGTATAAAGCCAAAACAGAACATAAAAGGAAACAGCTGTTGGATGCTGAGGATATATTACTGGTCTTTTGGGCAGCCTGAACCTAATCTTGAGTTGAAGAGGGCATTTACCTGGGATGAGAATGGTAACTGCAGCCTGCACAGCTCTGCGAATGATGTTGTCCATTGCAAACATCCAGTGAGGCCTAATTAAGTGGTTTCTCAAAATTCTATTGACCTAAAAGTAATCACAAAAGTCCACATGTCCATTCTGTTGAACTTTTAAGAAACCGATGAAATAATTCCAATTTGTTTCTATTTCCTCTGAGATGAAATTGTTGCTATGCTGCTCTGAAATTCTTCCATGATTCATTTCTTCTGAAAGAATCTTCCCCTAGGTAGGTCCCAAGTCACAATGGGTTCGAAATGCTGAATTATCACAATGGGATCAATGCCACTGGCCCTCTTGCCTGTTTATTCAAGGAGCATTTACTGAATGTGACAGATTATTGGTAGCATTTGACAAGATAAACCAGAAACAGCTTTGATATTGGAAGAGCATATATATATATCTTGGCAGGCATAAAAAATCATATCCACTGTGTTGGCAACTGCCTCTCCCCATAGTCTATACATGGTCTCTGGTCAAATGCAAGTGGCCCACTTTACAAAGTGTTATTTTACTATGTGCCTACAAAGAGCTGCTGACATTTAGGATTCAGGATGTGAACAAATGAGAAGGAATGGGTGCTACAAAACAGGGTGAATTAACTGGTTTAGCTGTCATGTTCTCCGGGGCCTGATAGAACACTCACAGCATCCTGGAATCCAAATAGGATCAGGTGAATCTGGTTGATGGAAGAGCTGTCAAAGTCCAGGTCCACCTTTAGTTTTGATATTGTGGCAGCCATCACCCTGTGCTCTGGGGAGCGAATGAAGTCCCTTAGGATTCCAATGATCTGTTTGATGTGGCCAACTGAGAGAAGCAACTCTTCTGAACTCTGACAAAAACATACATACATACACAAAATCATTTTAATTTGAGTGTGTCAGAGAGGAGGCAGAAATTTCCAAATGCATCAAGGGAAAGTAGACTCCATTTGCTAATGGAATTGTGGGAGTTCTTAATTGCAAAGGTCTCTTCCTCAATCCCTTCCATATCTTTCCTGTCAGTCTTGGGGGACCCTCTCAGATGAGTAGGTGGACATAAAGCCTCAGCACTAAGCCATCTGAGAATGGTTCTATCTTCCTGTTTGACCGCTCTACAGGGTCCTCAGTGGGCCTTGGAAGGTACAGTTCACAGCAGGGCAATGGCCTCTCTTAAAAGTAACTTCCCATACATAAAAGGTGAGACATCATTTTGTTACTACTGCAACCTAGTTAAAACGTCATTTTCCATAACCATTCTCCCTACAGTAGCTGTTCTCTTAACATCTGAATGTAACTCTAGCATGGTGGTTATCAACCTTCTTGATGCTGTGACCCCAA